TGCAATGACTGGCCATTAATAATGATAAGAGATTACAATACAGACAATACGTACTATGATTTTTTAAACCTCTCTCTCTCTCTCTCTCTCTCTCTCTCTCACCCTCTCTATCACTACTACTGCTACTGATTGTTATGTATGTCTCGAGAGGTTATTTTGTTTGGCGAAGAGAATAGCGATCAGTATTTTATGATAATTTTTTGGGACCTATTTTTTTCGCTGGCATTTGTTTTGGTTAGAAATTTTTGTGTGTATTTTGTTTGGTTTGGGAGTAAATAATTTGTTATTAAATTAGTCCAACAATTGGTTTTAGTGTTTGGTTTTGTTTTTCTAGTTATAAAAACAATGTTGGTAGGTTTTCTTATCTCTACCTTAACACTGGTATCTCCAATTCTTACAGACTATACACGCTATTATGTACACGACTTTATCGAGATATCACTGTAGATTATGGTATTTTTGTAATACATGTATAATCGATAGATTTATTGCTAAATTCTTGCTATTATTCACAATTATATACTCATAGATATGCTGTATATTAATATTTATAAGTATTTATTTGCTTATTCTTATAGAATATATTCTGTATAATAATATTATTTTTTATTTTCGTCTTTTCATATAAATATTGATTTCAAAATTTAATACATTCTGACATAAGAATAAGGAATTGAATTATAAATATATTATAGATTATTATGATATATGGGTTGTAGGAAAGGGTGGTTTTGTATGGGGAGAGAGGTTTAAAAAATCATAGTACGTATTGTCTGTATTGTAATCTCTTATCATTATTAATGGCCAGTCATTGCAATCTTATTGCCCGTCTCTTTAGACCCTTAATAATCAATTCATATATGAATACATAAATATATATCCAATTCTTTAGATATAGAATATTCTGTAATAGTATCTGATTTTCATGTATAGAAATAACACATGAATTTATTATAGCGTTTGTGTGTTTTTTGATTAAAATATATTGTTTTGCGAATTGAATGCAAAATATAAATGTTATGCGAAAATAAAATTACAAACAAAATGTTTATCTCAAAAATACATGTTTGGAAAAAGCAGTGAAAAATAGCCATCATGTTTGCATTGGGTATACAAACATATCTACCCCATCCCTACCCCTCTCGCCTCCCCCCACACACACAACAGACCCCTTTCAGGCCCATAACACCCGATCTGACACAACATATTTAGTTCACTATTAGAGTGAAACAAAAATATATACGTTTTCAATGAACAACAAAACAACAAAAAGGTTAAAACACTTTAAACACTAATGGGTTTTAAGTGAAAAACAATGAGATTTATTGTTTGTACAGAGACTACAAGTTTGCAAAGAGTTTGGTCGCGGGTCTCAGCCGCGAAGAGCCCCACACATGTATACAGACAGTTGTTATATACCAAAACACTTATCAACACAAAGTATTTCCCATCACTTTCATTGACAATCATTGATAAGTGTTGACCCCATAGGCGCTTACAAACAGATATACAGACTGTACACATACTGTACATCCCGGTGCTCTCCCGCACACATACTATACTATCCATTGATATTGAATTACATGTCTGATTGAATAAATGTTGAAAAGAATTTTGCCTGTTTTATGGACCCCCTTATATACACTGTATATAAACTGTATGTACACTGTATATACCAAACTATGTAAACGTCCCGGATGATTGTAATTGCTGTTGAAACGGGCACATTATGTGCCGCACGTTGACTGACATACCCTAACATTCAAACCATCATCAAATGTCATATTTATAAAAGTCAAGTATGTTTACAGCTTAAACATACTTGCTCCTGTTTGATACACATAGAGTATGTGCATGCGTGCATGGTCAAATAAATTTATTTATTTTCATTCACATGTATATTGTATTTCATTATTCAATATTGACTTTAATACGATATTTATAGAGAATATTCTGTCGTAATAATGGTTTATAAAGGGTTTTGTATATAAATACCCACAATTTCTACCCTGATATAAACCCCACTCAATAAGCATACACTCAATCCCTGTGTTTGTATAGTAACCGACGGTTTGTGTATTTCAGACAACATAATATACACTCTGATTGACGTGTGTTTTAGACAAACAATTTATTGAATAGTATTTTGTAGTGTTTTTTGTGTTGCAAAACAAAACTAAAAGGATTTGAGGGCTAAATAATTGCTGTTTTGCCTGTCTGTATGTGTCAATTGGTCTGTCAGTCAATTTACCACAAGTGAAATACGCTAAACAAAAAACAAAACTATGCTGTAATCATAATTAAGGGCAAATAAATCACAACTTGGTAAATAAAAAACAAACAAATCGCTTCAACAAAAACGGTCTGATAGTTGTATTGTTAAACATAAAAATATTTAACTTGTTTATACAGTAAACAGTTTATAGCGTGTGTTTCCCATACAAATTCATGTATATTGATCATAAAAAATAATAACTTATCATGTTTATTTCATTCACTAAATACATTTTTTCTCCCTCTCTCTCTCCCATCAACACAACCGCCGACTCCCGGTATTCATCCGATACATACTATACAGTGGTTTCGGTGCGATTAGTGGACGCAAAGGTGAACGGAGTGCGCGAAATGCATTTCCCGACGGAAGACACGGTTATGAACACTGCTTGGATGGTTATGCAGGAGTCGCTAACACTGCCCCTCCAGACCTCCATCACCAGCTCGGCATCCAAGCCCGGTATGTCATGTTTACCATGTATATTAATGCTGTCCCCCTTTTGTCCTGCGCTCCCTCCCCCTCTTTCCGAACTATATCTATAGTTATTATGGTTGTCATCATTGTCCACACACTTTATTATCATGTTGTTTTGTTATATTAATTGTTATGCCGTGTATAATTTGATATTGGTGTTTTTGTCGTTGTTGTGTTCAGCACATGCATGTCTGTACGTGCATTTGTTTTGTTTGATTGACTGTCAGTTTTCTCCCCCAATCATTTGATGGCTAGATCTAGATTTTTGTTTGATTTATTTTTAGTTGTGTTAACAGGGAATATAATAATGAACATTGTTATTAGCGCACACCGGCAGTCATGTCCCACGTATACACCCTTCCCCTCTAGTGGAGTACCCCCTATAGTCTGTATGCTATTCACACGTTGTCTATCTCGTGGCCATCAATTGGTTTTCAGTTTTATTTTACCATAAGTTTTCATTTTCTATAGACTCTCTCTCTCTCTCTCTTGAATGTTTCAGTTTTGACGGACAAACAAATCGCACATAACTTTTCATTTCAAATCAAATCATAATTAAATGAAAATCTCTCACAACGTCTTCTCTCTCTCTCTCTCTCTCTCTCTCTCTCTCTCTATGATTATATCTCTTAATTCATATTTCTGGCCAACATTTCACTCAACACTCATTCACTCACACTTTGTATATGTATTTGTTTAGCGTTTATAATAAATATACGACAAAATGTGTATTGAATGGGAAATTCAATATAATAATAGCCGTCATAATCATAATGACAGACACAAGTAATACACAGACAAAACGATTGCTAGAAATGATTAAACAAACAGCGATTTTTGGGCTAACTTTTGGGCTGTATTTATATTATGGTCACAAATATTGCATCAAATCATATGGAGAGAGAGAGAGAGAGAGAGAGAGAGAGAGAGAGATTTAGTGAGACGTTGTGAGAGATTTTCATTTAATTATGATTTGATTTGAAATGAAAAGTTATGTGCGATTTGTTTGTCCGTCAAAACTGAAACATTCAATAGAGAGAGAAAATGTTTAATAATAATAATGAAATTGTTATACAATTTTTGCTTTAATATTATCATTATTACGTGAATGACTTGTGCCCATACACTTTATTGACTAGACATCGGATTATACAGTATTTAGTTATTATTATTATTATTATTATTATTATGTTTTGAAAATAACAATTCAGTCAGACGTTGAGATTTTTGGTGTAGAAAAATAATAAAATGATAAATTATTGATCAGTCCTTTTGTAACATAATGTTTGTTGTTTTGACAAACAATAGTTTTAAGCCATTTGTATGGTTTTGGGACACGGAATGGGCGGCCGTTTGTTATATAATGGGATTCTTGCCATAAGAGTATACAATAGATAACACTTTTGGACCAACAAAATATAATAATAAGATAGTTTTTGAGAAAAATAACCATAATTTTATTAAATTCTTGTCTGGACTTAGTCTCTCTCTCTCTCTCTCTCTCTCTCTCTCTCTCTCTCTGCTATTCTCGGATTCCTAACGACTACTAATACTCTCTTTTCATTCTCTCTCTCATACAGAATATTCTGTCGGTTTGAATGACAAACAAAACAAAGGAATCGCATAAACGTTGCGCTGAGAGTGTAGTGAAGAGAATACGCAAGAATATAGTGAAGTGAATATTCTTATCATAACAAATCGCACATAACTTTTCATTTCAAATCAAATCATAATTAAATGAAAATCTCTCACAACGTCTCACTAAATCTCTCTCTCTCTCTCTCTCCTAGTTTTTATTGTATATATTATTATTTCAATCTTAAATATCTATACAAAGATAATCCCATTTTTTATTGACAATAATAATAGAAGTTTAAGCGAAAAATTGGGTAAAAATGATACTTTTATTTGTATTTTTGTTTACAGATATTTTTAAAGATTGTTTTAAGTTTTTTATGTCATATTATTTACGATATAATAAATTAAAAATGAATTATCAAAAGGCTTTTCGCCAGTCATATAAAAATCTCTCCCATTTATTATACAGTATTTATTAGATTTAATTTGTGATAAATATATAGTGTATTATTCCTTATAGTATAGTAAATGGCATTTTATGCATATATTAATGTAATCTCCGATATAAATACAGTACACCGTAGATGTTATGTGCCATAAGTTATGGGGGTTTTAACTATACTATAACAAGGGGTACATAATTCAAGAGACAAAAGCTATTTAAAACTTTATGAAAGTTAAGCATAGATTAAAAAAAGTTTTTTACTTTCCGTTATGTTTTTTGTATGAAATATTTTTAGTGTCGACACAAATATAAAAATACATTTCGGGGCATTAAACACAGTCTCTCTCTCTCTCTCTCTCTCTCTCTCCTTCCCTCACATCTCGACATTAATGACAACTGTTTTGACAAATAAACTACAAAACTAAACAACAAAATCAAAAATCACACAAACTTTTAATGCTTGCGACAAAACAGACAAAACACACCAAAAAATATAACCATAAAACATACGAACAAAATAAAAAGCTATAATAATTTATATCAATGTATTTATTTTTATTTATTTATTTCACCCAAGGTGTATTAAAAGTGGTATTCCTGGCCTACCGTAACGTTCAGGACTTTCTCACACCATTGAACCACACGTCTGCCCAACCCTCGGCCACCGGCGCCGGCAACTCATTACTATCGCCCGCATCGGCGCTATCGCTATCGTCGGCGCCGACAGCCATATCGGGACAGTCGGCGACCACTGCCGGCCCAATGGCCACCGCCGGTGGGGCTCCGGTAGCCAAGCGTGTGATCAACAGCAAAGTGATGACCCTATCATTGGTGGGCGAGACTAATAACGCATTCAATATACGTTTGGCGCAACCAATACAACTCCGATTCAAGCACCTGATCGAGGATAATATGTCTAATCCTCAATGCGTTTACTGGGATTATAATATCAGGTGAATTATCCCCTACCCGTTACCATGATTATAGTGTTATTAGCATTATTATGGGTATTAGTGTTGTTACCATAGTATTAATATTATTAGATATTTATGGGATGTATTGATAGATAGGTATTATTTTATATGTGATATTCAATTTGATGGCAAATTAAAGCTAGTTTTTTATATACCGATTTTACTAACGATAATAAAAAATACTACTACTATTAATAATAACTTGATATCCAAACACACATAAAAATACCCAATCACAATCGCAATACAATACCCTTATCCGAAACCAAAATTACCCTAATGAATGGCAATGGGATGTGTGCTAAGAGAGTGTCCATTTATTTTCACCATGATTGAAATAGTCACACTATTTTCATTTTTGTAGGTTTATTAATGTATATAAGTGTTAGGTGTTAGGAAAATCGTGCCTAATCTATTTAATTAAGTGGGATTAATATGGGATTTATTATATGGGTTTGTATATGAAGTTAGGGATAGGTATGAAATGATGGGATGTATTCAATGGATTGGTATGTTTTGACCTAAAAATTGTTTACAATTTTATAAATAAAGGGTTTGTTTTGTTCGGTATATTAGTTATGATACGAGAATTATATTAAAGAAAATTTAATATACGGTATAATACAAAGAATATTCTTGTTTTTTGCTTTTATTGGGAAACATATTGTGTGTTATATTTTGTTTGTTTGTTGTTTTGTATGTCATGTCTGTCTGGCTGTCTATCCGACTGTCCATCAGATGTTTGGACCCAAAAATATAATGACATTTTGTTGTGTGATATCTCTCTTTGAGATCAATTTTCTTCATTGATGTTTCGGTCTCTCTCTCTCTCTCTCTCTCTCTCTCTCTCTCTNCTCTCTCTCTCTCTCTCTCTCTCTCTCTCTCTCTCTCTCTCTCTCTCTCTCTCTCTCTTCAAGAGTTTGTTTATGCCATCAGTTTTTAAGTGATATTTTTGTCTCTTATGTAATATATTGTGTGACATATATATTGAGTTTGAGTTTTTTTTGTGTATAGTATTGTTATTTTGCTATATTATTGTCGATATGTTTTTAGGCATGAATTGACTTTTGATATGTTTTGTTAGTTTTTTTGGTGCCAATATTTTTCAGCACTTGAATGGCTTTACGAGAGATAGTGATGGCTATTATTGGCCGGGATTACTGGGCGATGACCACTGGGCACAGTTGCTATAGTAGACCAGTGCTGTTTTGCTGATATATCTAGCTTAGTTTTTTGTTTTGTTTTGATTTTAACATTTTGCTTTTTTTATGTCTCTTAGCTATTATTAATGTAACGTTGAGTTTATATTTAGTTTTTCAAACTCTCTTAACCCTATTTTTCTGGTCTCAAAAGTATATTTTATAGCGAAATATATAATAAATTTTATAAACCAAATGAAAAAACTCTCGACAAAGAGAGAGAGAGAGAGAGAGAGAGAGAGAGAGAAGTGATGGGGAATTGTATTACGAGAAGTGAACCAAAAATATCTATTTTCACTCATTTTCTCTGATTTATATTTTTGAGCCATTTTTAGAAAGATATGAAATCTGTGTTCAGAGAGAGAGAGAGAGAGAGAGAGAGAGAGAGAGACTTGAAAAATAAAGAAAATAAATCTATTTCGGAATTCAATTGTTTTTGGGGCCAAAACAAAGTCA